TTCTTTCTTTCTTTCTTTCTTTCTTTCTTTTTCTCTTTCTTTCTCTTCCTTCCTTCCTTCCTTCCTTCCTTCCTCCTTTCTTTCTTTCTTTCTTTCTTTCTTTCTTTCTTTCTTTCTTTCTTTCTTTCTTTCTTTCTTTCTTTCTTTCTTTCTCTTTCTTTTTTTAACATGACCAGTTTCCCATTATTTAAATCCTTAACTTCATGCCTTCCATGATTTGGCCCTGGGTATTTCTGATCATTTTACCTTTTAGTGCACCCTTTGTTACAGTCACCTCGTATAGCTGTTTTCTAAATAAGCCATCTATTTTATTCTCTCTCTCTGACTGCTTTGCCTCCACGGCTCTGCTGACGCAGTTCCATCTGCCTGGAGCACTTGTCCTCTTATATCTATGACAGTCCTCACCATCCTTCAAGGTTTGGTTTAGATGCCACCTCCTCCCGGAATTCTTCCCCAAAGAGAATAAATATCACCTGACTTATTGCTCTCATGCCACTTGGTGTACCTCTAGCTTCCTAGAAGTAAGGACAAATCTCCTTCATCTCAGTCTCTAGTGCCCCACAGAGTCCCCTGCACATTAAATGTTTTTATTAAATTGGCTAGCTGGAAAGGCATTTCTCAAACTGAAGTTTGGAGATCAAATTCTCATATATTTTAGGGGGTCTGTAAATTCTCTAAAAGAATTTTTTAAGTGTTATGTTCTCATTTTAATGATAATTCTGTATCACTTGGATCCACATTATAATCACATTGCACTGCACAATTTCAGCGCTCAGGTTTGTGTTTGAGAAACACTGGACTAAAACGTTACTCAGAGTGTATGTAACCTTCTGATTATGGAGGAGTGCTGGGTGTGAGTCATCATTCAGAAATCAATGCCATTTTTTGTAAAGGCCATATAATATGCATATTTTTAAGGAGACAACTCAACAGGATGGTAATGAATGTTTGCCCTTGTCAGGGAGTAAGTGTGTGCCATTTTTCAGACAAAAGATGAATAAGGAGCTTGGAATCTAAGAAATTTCGAAGAAGTTTCAACTGAAGCAATAACAACATTTCATCTGGATAAAGAAAAATACAAAAAAAAAAAAAGCCAAACCAAAAAAACAAAAACAAAACAACTAAACCAAAACCAGGAGTGGATGGGATAATTGAGGCTTTGTTTCTTTTTTTTTAAAGGAACGTTTTTTTGTTTGTTTGTTGTTTTTTTATTGGGGAACCATGTGTTTTTCCAGGACCCATCAGCTCCAAGTCAAGTAGTTGTTTCAGTCTAGTTGTGGAGGGCGCAGCTCAGTGGCCCATGTGGGGATCAAACCGGCAACCTTGGTGTTATGAGCAGTGTCACTGCTCTAACCAAATGAGCTAACTGGCCGCTTCAAGGTTTTGTTTCTTAATCAGAAACTAAGGAATAGTAGTAGGTGTCCTGGAGCCCAAGATTTTAGTTCATAATCAAGTGGATTAGTCAATAGTTGCAATATATACTCAGCATTATAGTCCCTTCACATAAGCTACTGTAGTTACTCACCTTTTTTTTTTTTTTTTAATAAGTAGGCAGACGTATAAAGATGACTTAGTTCTTTGGGAAAGTCATATATATGCTGATACTATAAGAGTCATGCTCTATTCTAGGCTATTGTCCCAATTAAAAGTGTAATTAGAAGAAAGAAAATTATTGGGTTTAATTTTTTACTTTTGTTGTATGTTATAACATTGACTTTTGAACCCTTTATAAAACATATACAGTCTTAAATTCCTTTGTTTTGGCAAATCTAACTTTTCTGGCTTTGTACTGATAGATATAGAAGTACTCTATAATTTTAAAGAACATTCCAGTTTTTATATTATATCAGTTAGAATGCTTTTGGCTGCAGGTACAGAGATTCCCAACTGAGCAGGCTTAACCAATAGGGAATACATCACTGCACATAACAAAAAGCCCAGGACTAGTTAATTCTTTGGCTCCATGACATTCTTCAAGACCCAAATTCTTTTCATCTTTCTGCTCTGCCAACCTGAGCTTTATGGACTCGTCCTCTGATCCCTCATGGTTTCAGGTTGGCTGCAGCAACTCCAAGGTGTCATATCCTTAACATAACCAGAGGCAAAACATTTTCTTAGTGTCTGCCAGCAGATTTCTCTTCATACCTCATTGTCCAGATTGGGTCACATGCCCATACCTAAACCATTTAAGGCAAGAGGATATGTCTGCCATGATTCATTTAGACCAATGAAGACCTTAACCTGAATCACATGGGTGGAGGTTAGGGCTGGGGCAAGTGGATACTTAAAGTGTGATTTGCAAGAAAGAATGGAAGAATGCCAATGAGATGTACACAACAAAATTTGACATATAGGTATCCCTAATGCTCAAATTAAGCACCCTTTATGTAGTATCTTTAAACTCGATGCCTGTATCAAATTGCAGCCCTGGAAGCTGTATTCTCTGACTACGTGCATTCATTTTGTTCTGCATAGATACCTGGTCAGGGCTGCCCCCCAACCTGGAGACTAGGATCCAGTACAGTCTTAAGAAACCAGCCACACAGCATGGTAGGAGCTAAGGGAAAGGAGGATTAATCAGGCTAGCAGAGCCCCCAGGAATTGGGGCCAGAGCTATAAATCCCCAAAGAAGAACAAGTTTGAGCAAAGGTATGACAAACCTAGGCTGTGTGTGTGAGGCGTAAGGGAGAATATGATGGCAGGGCACTGTGAGAAACACAGAGTAGATGCAGCGAGTGTTCTAGCTCTTCCATTCCAATGCCTGGAAAACAAGGTCGTAAGTGGGCCCAGAGCTAGCTCCTGGGTACAGTGCAGGGCTCTTGAGATGCTGACCTTTCCACTGGCTCTTCTAGGTTCCCAGCTGCACTTGGGGATGATGTTGGTGGAGCATGCAGTGAAATGGATGCTCATTTGGAAAGTAGTAAAGAAGCTCAGGCAGGGCAGGAATGCACATAAATGGAACATTAGATTGTGGTTTTGTTTATGTAATAGTATGCCCTTGGCTTCTATTGTGGCTCAGTATAAGGAACAGCTGTATGATTTCTACATTGAATACAAAACTTCTGCTGTCCATTTTGCTCTTCACTTTCCTCCCATGTCTTCACATGACCTGTTCTTTCAGGTCTTCTCTGAGAGCTTTTCCCTGAGTCCTTACCCTTGGCTCTCAATCCCACCCCACCTTCCTTTTTCTTCATAGCCCTATTCCTGCTGGAAAATTTATTTACTGTTTATTGTCTTTCTCCCCCACTAGAAGTAGGCTTCATGAACATGGGAACTTTGCTTTCTAGTTCGTGCTATAGTATCTTCAGTACTGAGAACATACCTTTTTTTAATGCATTTTTGTATTTAATATACATATTTAAATCTGTACTATGTTTGGTTTGCTGATAGTGAGAGAAGTTGTGTATGTGTGCATTTTTACATACATAAATGGTATAATACTGGTTCTATTAGTTTCTGTTGCTTAATGTCTTAAGGAGACCTTCCCATATTAGTGCATGTAATTCTTTCATGTTCCTTTTAATGACTCCATGGTATTCCATAATATCTGTGGTTATTTAACCACTTCCATATTAGTTATATTAATATTTAATTTATTTCTTCTCATTTTCACTATTATAATGCTGCAGGAAAATCTTTTTTAATTAATTAATTTTTTAATCTGTAGTAAAATATTTATGCAAATATTCTTGTTCATATATGTGACTACCTCTCCAGGACTGATATTCAGAAGTGCAATCTAAGAGTAAGCACAAAGTCCTCTCTTTTCTATTCTGAAAAAAGCCTATGGCTCAGTCACCATTGATTCAATTTCTACAATATATGTTGATGTTAACTGGGCAGGGGATGAGTCTTATGACTTCATATAGTATATTAGGAATAGGAGCATTTTGGAGAAATTACTTCATCTTTTCCTTATATTATATGGAAAATACATTGTGTTCCTGATCTTAAGGGAAAACAAACTTCCTCCTCCTCCCCCTTTCAAGTGACTGAGATTAATGACATTAGGCTCTCTATAAACAACCTCTGCTTGACTCTACGATGGCATTAGCTAGTCCATCGAAACCATTCTTGTCAAGGTCAACAGTGACCTGATTGTTATTCAATCTAATGGCCAATTATTAGTCTTCTTCCTACCTAAGGTTGAATATTCTTCCTGAACATGGTTTTTAATGGTTATGCAACCACTTTGAAAAGTATAAAACACCATACAATGTACCACAATAATATCGTTTTTTCCTTGTTTAAGAAGTTAACAATTGGGCCGGCTGAGTGGCGTGTTGGTTAAGAGCTGGCTTGGGACACCAGCTCTGAGCAGCAGGGCCCTGGTTCGGATCCCACATGAGGGCCAGTGTCACTGCCCTCTACAGCTAAGATGGTGAACAACAGCTTGACCTGGAGCTGGGCTGCCGTGAGTTGCTGGTAACAGCGTAGGCTGCAGTCCCTGCTGCAGTGGGCTGCCATAAGCTACCGTGTGTGGTTGGCAACGTGCATGAGCGGCCAGCAGCTGGTGTGAGCTGCCAAGAGCCACTGTGAGTGGCTATTCAGAGGCTGGCGACCAATCTGCCTTGCCCGGGAAGAGCGCAATAATAATACCAACATGGGCCAGTGAAGCAACGTACTCCACAACTAGACTGAAGAACAAAAGGACAGCAACTTGTCTGTTCCCCTTCCCCCGATTCCCCAGCGCTGTTCCCCTCCCTCAATTCCCCAATAAAATCTTTAAAAAAAAAAAAAAAGAAGAAGTTAACAATTTGTTTTAAAAGATTTTGATTTCTTCTCTTTTTCTGTAGGGGACATGGTCTCCAAGTACCGAGAACCTTTGATCCATGCCTTCCTGAGGGGAGTGAGAGATCCAGATGGTGCTCACAGGGCCAGCAGCTTATCCAACCTTGGAGAACTGTGCCAGAGGCTGGACTTTCTTCTGGGCTCCGTGGTTCATGAGGTACTGCAGTTCAATTCCTTTCTCTAAAGCTTTTTCTATCTGGACCTGTGATATAGCTTGGGGTTGGGGATCAGGAGACCTGTGTTTATTTTTTAAGATCGGGTAAGTCCTTTAATCTCCCTCGGCCTCACCACTCTGACATGTATATTGAAAGTTATATTAGTAAGGATTTTTTAATTACAAGTGACAGAAAGTCATCTTAACCTACGTTAAGCAATAAAAGAGGATTTATTATAAAGATTCCAAAGTAATCAATAGAGTTGAAGAAACCTTGAGGAGGGCAGATGAAACTTTACCCGAGTCTCTGGGCCATCTGTGAGTTTTGTATCTGTTCACAGAAAAATCTCAGGCAAATACTCTGATTGGCCCTCTTTGGTCACATGTGCCCTGTGTTCAGAGGGACAGGGTCATTGACCAGAAAAGACTAAGCTCCATGTATTGTTCACCACTTTACACCCAGAGTAGGGAAAGGAGAAACGAGCAGCCCAAATAATAGCCATGCAAGAGGTTGGCACTGGACGCTCCTCCTGATTTTAGAGCTTACGAGTTAATGAAATGTGCATCATGTTGCTCATTTGTGTATTGCTCTGTTAATATCTCTCTCTGGCCCCTTAAATTTTATCTTTGCCCTAGTGTTTATTTAGTCATCAATAAATCAATGTATACCTTTAATGTATATCTACTGTGTGTTAGCATGCTGCTATTTAGCGATGATGATAGGCAGAAAAGACTAGTTAATATGTGGCCAGGAGTCTGTTCCTGACCAATGCACTTGACCATCTTAAATCTTCTTTGAAAGAAGATGGTTTATAAATTATAAATATGTAAATCAAATATAATTTGTATTACCTTTTTATTTATAAGAGACAAGATTCCTCATCTAAAGCATGTAACTTTATAAAAACAAAAACTTAGAAAACGCTAATACTGGCTTCTTTTACAATGTTCAGTATTTTAGGGCTAACCATGTTGAACATCACAGCTTAGGAAGTACCTACTGAGAAGGAATTTCCTTCTGAGTCTGGTGATTGTGCCTTATCAATAAGCAGAGAAATACACTGAAATTTATGGTATTGCCTGATTCCTGAGCTTTATACGCTTCATTTTATTGATTATAAAGGTGACTCTTATCATTAAATTCTGATTTAGGATTTTTAGGAAATTTATTCATCAGTCATTTCCTCTCCTTTAATTCTTCCTTGAGGGACATACCCCTATGCCCAATTGTTTGCATCTTTTTTTAATAACTTAGAAACAATGGTTATTACTGCCTTCAAACCTTCAGTTGCTCTAATACATGTGAACCATTAGGTTCTGATCTTTGGTTGTTTTGGATGGCACTTAGCAAATCTCTTGTTCTTTAGTAATATTGTAACATGTAAGAGAGGGCCTTTGCGGGACAATTTTGTTGTATCAGCTAAAGATTTCAGCCTATTATAACTTCTCTGGGTCAAATACTGACATGATTCCCACATTTTTTTCTCTGTTTACTTGGTTTCTTCACGACTCAACATAAACTGAACCATAAACCGTGAACTGAAACAAACTCTTGGACTACGATCTGAGCCAAACCCAAATACTATTATTTTTAATAACAGCTTTATTGAGATAGAATTCACATACCATACAATTCACCCATTTAAAGGGTATAGTTCTATGGTTTTTAGTATATTCACAGAGCTGTGTAAGCATCACAAAATTTTTTTTAACATAGCCACAAACTGAATAAAAGTTTCCCCCATATCTCCCAAGCAGAGCAGCTCAGACTTGACAGCATCCCATGCATTTTCTAAAGGCGATAAACCCAGACAGTGTCTGGACATCATGGCCTTCTCTGAACCCCAAAACTGAGACCATATTTCTTTTTGAGTCCCTAGACTCTTCTTTCTTTTCTCTCTGTTAAGGAAAACTGGTAGCATATGATTTCCTGTTGAAAGTGTGGGAGAAATTTCTTGGTTTGGTTAATTAGGAAGCTTAAGTTACAGCAGGTTTCGTAACATTCAAAATGTGTCATCTTCCTGGAGGCCTACCTCACCTGTTGAAAGAGAATCAGAGAGGCCCAGCTCCACCACCTTCTTACCTGTGTTCACTTGCGCAGATAACTTAGAAAATGGGATTAAAATACCTACAATGCAGGATTATTAAAAAGCTTTAGTGATAAGGTATCTGCGGAAAATAAGAAAAAGTAGAGGAGGCTAGCGTGATCAGAATTGTACTGTTAGGTGGAGGGGAGAGTGCAGTAACTAGGGTATTTGAGTGAGCCTTATTTGAGAAGGTGACATATGAGTAAAGAAATTTTAGTTTTCTATAGTAAGATTTTTCTTCAAGGAGCATTTTGGTTATTTAAAGTGGGCTGAGGGGCTGGCCAAGTGGTGCGTTGGTTAAGAGCTGGCTTGGGATGCCAGCTCTGAGCAGCAGGGCCCCGGTTCGGATCCCATATGAGGACCAGTGATGCTGCGCCCTCTACAGCTAAGATGGTGAACAACAGCTCGACCTGGAGCTGGGCTGCCGTCAGTTGCTGGTAATGGCGTAGCCTGCAGTGGGGCTGCAGTGGGCTGCTATGAGCCACTGAGCAGCCGTTTAATGGCCGGCGGGCAACTGCCTCACCCGGGCAAATTACCAGAGCACAATGGTAATACCAACACAGGCCAGTGAAGCAACGTCCTCCACAACTAGACTGAAGAACAAAAAAAGGACAACAACTTGTCTGTTCCCCTTCCCCGATTCCCCAATGCTGTTCCCCTCCCCCAATTCCCCAATTTAAAAAAAATCTAAAGAAAGAAAGAAAGTGGGCTGAGGATGACAGTAATGAGGATGACTATCGTCCTTCAGATGTTCCCAGTCGTACATTTACCAAACCCCTACAATGTGACAGGCCCTTTGTTAGGGTCCAATAATTCAAAATCCTGTAAGATACCACCTTGCCTTCTAGGCATGGGTAACTTGGTAGGAGACATACACATCAGTGATTACAATTCTAGTCCATTGTGCTAGGTGCTGTGGGAGCACATTTTAGGAGCCCCTCAGCCACGTTTGGGTGCTGACAAAGAGATGATGGAGCTAAATATGAAGAATAAGTAGATATTGGGTAGCCCAAGAAGGCAGAGGTGAGAATTTCAGCAGAGGGAGCAGCTTATGTAAAAGCACAGCTGTGTGGGGCAGCCGGTTGGCTCAGTTGGTTGCAGTGTGAGCTCTGAGAAATCGAGTTGCCGGTTCAATTCCCACATGGGTCAGTGAGCTGCACCCTCTGCAACTAGATTGAAGACAATGACTTGAGCTGAGCTGCCGATGTGTGGCTGGGTGGCTCAGTTGGTTAGAGCGTGTGCTCTTAACAACAAGGTTGCCAGCTCAAAGCTGAGCTGTGCTGTCCACAACTAAGAATAAAGGACAACAACTTGACTTGGAGCTTATGGGTCCTGGGAAAAACACACTGTTCCCCAATAAAGTTAAAAAAAGAAAAAGAAAAAGAAAGAAAGAAAGA